ACATAATGAGGCACTAAGTGACTAATATATCCCCGACTTCGATTTTTTTCCTTCAATTAGCTATTGAATTATATATGTATTTCAAAAGTTGATAATTTTTGTATTTCTTATCGGTTATATATATATAATATATCAAATTAATCATCGTTTGAAGACCTTCGATTTGACATCTATATTGTATATATGAAATAAATAAATTATATTTATCTTTATAATAATTAAAAATGATAATATTTATTAAAATTCATTAGAAATATAAAATTATTTCTCAATTGATATATTTATTTTTGATATAGTTATACGTTGTAAGTTAAAAAAATTATTATAATATAACACAGGTAAATCACACAAATAAAAAGTGTCATACTAAATATATCATAATATATATATATATATATATATATATATATATATATATATATATTTATGAAAGGTATTTAACTTTTCAACTACTTTTTTCTCATTAATTTTAGATTCTAAGAAAAAAAATTAGCAAGCACCCGTGTAATACACGGGTGTTGTACTAGTAGCATGTGTTGACGATCGTAATTCAATGGTTAATAAAAGATTTGAAAAGTGATAAAATGAGTAAATAAATAAGGATTTATTAAGTAAATGGGTTTTTATTGATTAATCACTAGGTCGACCCCAAAGAATGAGGTCAGCTGACTAGTATATCATGTCCCATTAGCAATCATCACTTGACAAGCGACAATATTTTATCATTCCAAATCCTGTATTCACGTAGGAGCCAGTCTTGTCGAATCTTCAGGTCGGACCCTCATCGACATTTTCTCATCTGGCCCTCGGGATCCCTAATTCCTGATTGGCATTCACAGAAGTCGACGTCGTCCGGTCAATCGAAGTGTCGTTCTCAAGAATTATGCTAAGCTCCATTCTCGTCAACATTGTTCCTCGGCCAGCTCGGCTCCTTGGTGTAACCCAAAAGCCGGTCCAGATTTCAAGGTCGTCTTCGCACTGTTCCTTATCCTCAAATCCCGAGTCTCTAGTGGCCAAACTCGGATATCAACATACAGGCCCCCGAGCTCATATGAGAGTCCTTCACATTTCTTCTGATTTTGTCCATCCATGGTCAGGTCCGAGTTGCTGGATTGAGGTCGTATCCCTTAAAGCACATGGTTCGGACCCGGGTTGGTTGGCTAGTCCGTCTCTCCGCGGAGCGCGTGGCTTTGACTCGCGCTGACTAGCTCGTGCATTGATGACACCAGCCAAAGGGACGGTCATTTAATGTGATGTGTACTAAATGTTTTATTGTCGTTTTTGAAAAGTCGTGTCATTATAATTTCTGTCAATGTGGCGTACACGTGGCAATTCCTCAACCACGATTCGAATTGTAACCACCAGTATTGAAAACTCTCCCTTTTTGAGTTTCTGAAATTTAAAAACCATGACACATGTTGTTATCTGATTGGTCGTGTATATATAGGGTTCTTGGCATTTTCTCAGTTTTCACCTTTGCAGACTTCTCGAGTCTACGAATTTTTTAAAACAACGATATTTTTTAGCAACCTGCAGAGCTTTTACCGACGTTCTTACTCGGTAATTTCACTTTCTTCGCTCTAGTTTTCTTTTGCTTCTGTCCGATCATGTCTTCTTCGTCTAAATCTGCGACCGATTTCGGTCTATCTGGCGGTAATACGGGTTCCTCGAGTGAGGCTATGGTGACCAAAACCGATAAAGTGGTGGTTTATTCCCATAGTACAGCGGCAGCTGCGCTATTAGTGGTGAGCCTAATCTCGGTAGTTAGGCTACTCGCGTCGGCTACAGAGACAACTTCCGGGCATGATGGAGAAGGATCCCCAAAATCCCCTTTGCGAGAGATCGGCGACCTTAACTTGAACCAGTTAGCCGGGGTTGGTGAAGATGATGTGAGCGTAAACTTTCTCGAAGACTCCGAGGTGGACCTTGACTTGGTTGACGAAATTCTCCATGGAAACACCCAGGGTCGGGAGCAAGTCCTAGTGGGCCGTGGTGATGAAGAGACTAACGCTCAGGTTGAGGCGGCTACCACTGCTTCTCCTGGCTTCTGGCGTCGATCCGCCCGTGTTTGGGCTGACTCTAGCGATCTGGGAGCGTGGGACACACTCTCGATTCTCGAAGGTGTCGACCTTGCGCAGTTGAAGAAGAAGGTCTGTTTTGGGCCCGGGGTTCAGATTTTTTTGCATTGGAGTATATCGTCACAACATATTGATAGGTCTTTGATTCCAGTTACCATAGGC